AATTTGGAGGTAGGAGTTAGTAAACTAAGGCATCTGGCACAAATTTGGCATAGTGCTGTTCCAAATGTGGAGAACAGTCAACCTCAGAGATTTACTTCTAGACCAAAAATGAAGAAAAAGGTGAAAAAGAGACCATGAAAGAAGAGTGGATACAGGGGATAGGAAACCAGGAAATGCAGAGTCTGAGATCATAATTAGTGAGAAATTGAGAGCAAGGCAGAAATACTTGAGAATCTCCTGAAGGGACGCAGCATGAAAATAAAAGTCATTTTAACTGCATACTTACAGCACAAACAGCAAAAGAGGCCAAATAGACTGGAAAGCTGGGAAGTGAAGACATCAAGCAGCAGGCTTAAACAAACAAAAGAGAATACTTTTCCCTCAAAGCACATAATTCAATTTGGAAGGTTGTTGCCACAGGTTGTTGTGAAAGCTAAGATGATAAATGTTTTGAAATGGGACCGGACAAGCAGGTAGAAGATAAATACATTATAGTTCAAAGGAAAGGTGCAGTGGGACCTTTGGTCTTACACATTGTAGGAGATCTTCTGTTTGAAAGTACATTTAAAAATCTTAATGAGGATGTAACTTGGTCTTTCAATTGCCTTTATTTGCAAAAAAAACTTTACCCAAGAAAAAAATACAAAATAATAGAGAGGCTGAAGTCAAAGGAATATGTTATCCCACTTTTTATTCTCCAGAGATACTGAGTTACTGGCTCAATCACTTTCTACTGTGTGTATAATTGTGGTAGTAAGAACTGCCTTGACCATCCACAGCTGCTGATTCATGTTAATTTCCATATTGCTTTGACAAGTAATTGATAAACAAAACATTATAGCTCTGAATATTTCAATTAATTGAATGTGTGTCTTTAGATTGGCAAATCAGGACATTTCACCAAGGTACTTTATTTTAAATAGGCCTGCAAATTATAAAATGCTGCCATTTCCATTAAGATCTCCCAATTTCTATCACCCACTCAATGAGATGTTGAACTAAGTCTTTAGCAGTGACATCCAGAGGTTATGAACTACTGCTACATACATAACATCTGTGTCTTCACTTATATGATTATGACGGACCACCTCCTTTCTCAACTCCAGCTAAATCAATGCAGTTATTACCTAAGCTTTGCAAGTAGAAACTGTTTTTGGGTTGAGCCTCATGAGTTTGACAGTTAGCTCTGTTTACTGATGAGTAATGACTAGTATTTGGACAAAAGTAAACAAAAATTCTTAATAAATTGGAAGAGAGTGAAAATTGCCTAGGGCCCATTACCAAAGAAAGGGTGTAGTATCTCTAGCCAGAATATGCACTTCTAAAGCACTAAGCTCACCAATTAGAATACAGAAATGACAACAGCTACAGGCATTAAAGCTTGTGCCTTTGTTACTGCATGAGACAAATGTTTGAGCAAACTACACGTCTTGCCTTTGTACTGCTGCCTATAAACTCTGACTTTGTGCCCACCTTCCTGCTTCATGAAGTATTTTCTTGACATTTATTATTAATAATAAAAGTTAAGAAAAATGAAAGTAGCAGCCATATTGATTTGGCAAAGCAGCATGAACATATTTAAAAGCTCATGCCTTTTACTGATTCAAATGCATTCAATTTCTCTGAAGTCTGATTTCTTTAATTATATTACAAATCTAAAAAGACTTTTTATGTTATCAGATACTAATTACATTAGACAGATTACCATTCATTTGCTTATGGCAATATTTGTTTCCACTGCCATCAGTTAACATCAAAACAGTATTACCTCATCATCATTTACAGTGGAAAAAATACTACTTTTTTGTATAAATTTGTGTCTAGGTTGGTCCAGTTAAAGGCATGAGATACTCTTTGCTTGGTTCCTATAATTAATACGTATAAATACTCTGCTTACCCTTAATCCCTAATTATGACAAACTATACTTTCCATTTTTAGGCAAGCTTCCGTCTACGCTAAAGCTGTCTAAATGTCCTCTGAGTTAGGAAGATAACTCCAGAAATTGAGAGAATTAGTAGACGGAGTCCCACTGAGAGAGGGATTTCATAGGGGAGAAAAGGAATAGAAGCCAGATGAAACTTTTACAACCTTAATAAACAGAAAATCTGTTGAAGTAGAAGTGAAAAAAGGAAAAAAATGTAGAGGAAATCATAGTATGGATAAGATAAGAAAAGAAAAGCTGTGAATCAGGTTACACTCCCCTGCCTCTGCAGAGGATACCTTCCATTGAAGTCCTCTGCCTTCTCACACAAGCTCGTCTGGAAAAACTGAATCAGCCATAGTATCTCTCTAAACTTGGCCATGTGATTATCATTCTTTCTTTCCATCACTGCAACTCCTCTGGGCTTGAGAATTTCCTATAAAAACTATTAGTTGTTTAACAACTGTGCAGCTGGATTTCCAGAAGTTCCATTAAGGCAGTGGCTACTAGCACTCAGGGCACTTACGCGTTGCTCCTTACAGATCTGGTAGGTCACTTTTCCTAGACTTTAATTCCTTGACCTGCAATTTAAAAGAATCTCTTGTGAAGAGATTCTCTCTCCTCATGCAGACTCCTCCCCTCTCATCTCCCACATCTTTGTGAATGTACCTCCCTTTATGTTAACTCTGGCAAGTACTTGTATTAGAAACCTAATATTCAAGGTAAGAAGGCATATTTATATGATAAATCAGCTCTAACAAAGGAGTAGGACAAAAAAATTACATCAACACATTAGGCACTGGGGAAGGGATGAGAAATCAAAGGATGCTCCCAGATATATTAAGAAAGATACAGGAAAAAAAAATCCACTAAAAACATCCTCTATTAAATGGAAGAATGCATCTCAGAAAAAGATAAAAAGTAGGTTTGCCAGCCCCCAGAGAGAGAGAGAGAGAGAGTATTGTATAATTTCAGGAGGATTATGTTTCACTAGAGACATTAATGAATGTAATGAGCTAAAGAAGGGGTAAGACACTGGTTAAATTGATCTATACAACTGATTATGCTACATTTGATGAAATAATTGCGTCAGTCTCTTCTGTACTTAAAATAAACTTAACAACTCTGAAATGCAGTAAGTTGTTAAGCACTAAACATCATCACATACTCTGTCACACTATTCTCATTGTTTCAGAAACCTTGGAAGCACCTGACATTTACTTTCTCTAGTTCTAACACTGGAATTGCAGAAATGCAATTAGGAAAACTCCGGTACAGAAAAGGTCAGCAATGTGCAAGTTAAACCTGATAAGATGCCTAATATGCTGCCAAACATAACAAAATGCCTTCCTGATAATGAATGATTTTACAGACTGCCATGAAGTTGTTGCAAGATAATCAGATCAACAGGAGGCATGCCACTATGCAAAAGACACAAGGGAGATTGTGAAATATTCTTTGACAGAGCTATATTGCAAAGCCACCACTGACAGAAAAATCTACCATTATAAAAGGCCATGTTTTCAGAAATAATCCATAAATAAATTGGGCAGAAAACACATACGACAGAAGTTTCAACATTTGGTAAGCGCAGAAGCCATTACCTCATCAAAGGCAGTGCACTTTGTGCCTGCAGCCAACAACCAATACATCACCACCTCCAGGATGTACAAGGAATTTTTTCTTTTTCTTTTCTTGTAGTAATCAATGTAAGTAGAGGTTAGAGGGTTTAGTTTTTCTTCATCTTTAATACAGAAATACTCATGGAGCAGTACAGGCTCTGTATTCCTCATGCAAAGACCTCCTCCTTACTTGTGCCACTAATCCTACACAAACTAATAGTGAATGTTAAGAAAAATGAGAAGTAATCTAAGGGGTTCTTTTGACAAACGATATTTCATCAACGGTGTGAAAGAATAGCTCATTAATGAAAGCTGAAAGTAGCACTTATTAGAAGTTTTCTGCCAAATACCTAAAGGCAGGTTAAACCTTTAGTGAAAAATGGTTTTGAGACCTTACAAACACCAAAGAAATGTGTATTTGTTATACCTGAATTCATCATAAGCAAACAAAATCTATATAGTTCACATGTCTATTTACAGACTACAATTTGTATTAGATTGTTTCATTTTATTTTGTCATAGTTATAAGAAGTTGCATTTTTTTAAAAACAAGAGGGAAAAAAGGTACTGTCATGAACTGCAGCAGAGCTTTTGCCTCTATATTCACTTAGACTAAAATTCAAAGTACAGAACTCATAATCTTCCAGGAGTTATCACATACATATCTGTGATAAGAGAACATTATGTTTTGAGACTGCTAGATCCATACTGCAATGCTGTATTAAGGGCAAATGCCAACTTTGTATTATAGTTTCTCCAATACCTGAGCTATATCATTCTATTTCATGATCAACGTAACAGCCAGCTATTCTTTTCATGTGACATGTATTGTTGCCTAGTTAATTAAGGAAAACAAATCAAATATAATTTAATGTGAATCTTCCTATTTTTTTATTTTATCAGAAGTATCAAGAATTTAGGACATGACATATTTTCGAGGATTGACTGTAATGATAGATGATAATCAGCTAACTTGTATAAGCTGAATTTTCTCAGCAGCGGGCTATAACTTGTGTGAAGAAAAGGATCTGATGTCCTGTCTTTGGTGGTCTACAAAAAACTAAACAAACAACTTCAAACACCCATGTGTTCAGTATTTCCGTATTTCCCTTCATACATCCTTTTGTAACCAGCTTTACCTAAACAGGGTGTGCCTGAGGCAAATATTTATAAAACAGTACCAACACATTGCAAAACATTTTTACAGATGCTTGCTTTGCAAAAACTTCACAACATAAGTGAATATATTTTCTTTAAAATGTATGAAGAGAAGCATGCCAATAGAAGGAAGTAAACAAACTCCCTACAACTAGATGATAGCATCAATAAAAGTGCAATTATACTTCCAGCTTTTTCTTGCCATTCTTCTGGTAATGATCATAAGAAACTGATTGTATTTTCTTGAAATGCTACATATGCATAACATGCACCAAAAAACTAATGAGAACACACTCACCATGTACTATCAGGACATATTCTGTGCTATTTCGGCCAATAGGATTTTTTGCTTCACATCGGTATGTGCCATTGTCTGTTTTGTTTAGGAAACTGATGCTTAGGACCCTCCCGTTGACAACCATTCTCTCTGGATCTGGTAGTTCTCCACCGTCCTTTGTCCACAGCACTGGTTCTGGCCTGTTGGATCCAAAGCAATGCATTTAATCAGATACATGAAGCATATATATGCAACATATACATCAGAAACAGTAGCATCAGAAACCTACAAATAGTAACCTGACATCAAAGAATAGTCAATGATCATTTGAGTTACTGGATATAATGAACTGTCACTATTACAACCCCACCATCCTGGGTGGGAACTACTAAAGAAAGTGAAAGAACAAGCAGGGAAAAGAAAAGAAACAAAAAAGGAAACAGAATGGTACTGGAACAGGCCAAGAACTTTCCTAAATTAAAAAATAGTTCTCGCAAGGTTTCAGGGCCCACAGTTCAGCAAGATGCTTGGCAAGCTAAGTGAAAACAGCTTTCCGTTTGTGTGATGAGCAATATGGTCTTGTGTGGCTGACAGGCATCAGAAATCATGCAAGCAGGCTGAGGTGGATGTAAGTGGTTTGTAAATGGATTCTAAAATTATTTAGGCCACTCACATTCACAAGCGCACTTGCATGCGCTGAGTGTTTTTCCTGAACCAGGCATATCAGTCTCAAAGTAGCACATCTTACACACAATCTAAATTTGTTTCTGTTGCTGCATTGTGTCGCAGCCCATCCCTTTTTCCACCCTTACTGCATCCTTCCCTCAAATAATTGCTTGTTACACATGTTATCACAAGCAATATAAGATTTGACTTAAAATCCTGGATTTCCTTCTTTTGTGAAATCTTTCCTCTTGTGCCTCATGAACTTGCATCAAACAGGCCACAGGCAAAGCACTGACAGCGATAAGCCCCTAGGCAAGTTAAGGGCACTGCAGAGAAGGGAACTGACCATCTGATCATCAGATTCACATATACATTCCCACTGACAAGTGGTACCTAACTCTTTCCTAAAGACTCTCAAGAAGCTCCACAATTCATGAGATTTGCCTAACAGACAGTAGAAGGTATTTATTACTGGTATGCAGTCTTTACTTACATGTAACAAGATCTACTTTCAAATTTACATGAGGGAAGTCACCAAAAAGACAGGTCCACGACTGGGAATGAAAAGTTGGCTTACTAAATCCTGACTGTCTCACAAACAGAGCTTCTCAGCTCCTTAGATACCAGTCACTAAAGCACGATACATACAGCCTGGGGATTCACTGCTATATTACTTGTATCTGGTGGCTTTGTACACTATAACCCACATATCAATCTCTTTCTTTTGGGTACACTACTTAAGTAATTTCAGTCAGAAGCAGTTCTAGATTTGTACATTTATTTGGTAGGAGAATGTTACATTATATTTTCCTATCAAATTATGCAGTTGTATGACTAAGCAATAAAACATAAAATGTTGTTATAAAATCACAGCAGATGTCAAATTAGTCACTAGTCTTACTCAAGAAATACTTAATTTCATTAATTTAAACAGGTGTTTAAAGCCTATTAAATATAGTTAGTGTTCAGAATAAGAATTAAACCTAAATACTTAAGGAGAGACATTTTACCAAAATGTGACCTCATGCACAGAAAAATAGTCCTAACAACTGCAAAGACATGATTTTCTTTTAAGTTAGGCAAGACATATAAACAAGTGAATTTTTCTGACATGCACTTACTGCTATATAATTTATACTACTTTCTAAATTAAAAAATCCACTCTAACTTATGTTTCTCTTGGAAGATAACAGAGATTTATACACATTTTGGTAATATTTGGATGACATCCTGTTAAATTGCTGTTAAATTTGTTACCTAGACTGGCTATTCTCTGAAGTTACAGGTTTTTTAGAAAATCATATACTCAGGGACTCACATAATTTTAAACCAAGGATTAAGAACTGTTGGTGTAATAGTCCTTATTTTTACCTTACCGTAAATATGTCTTAATACTCTTCCTAAGTGCACTTTCAGGAACTGGTATCTAAATACACATGACACACAATATATACACTTCCCTTCTGCTTAATGCGAGCAGGGAATCTAGATGTCTGTGCTGCTGCAGAAACATTGCCCTACAGAGTTCACAATATTAAGGTGAGATTTGCTTTGATATGTTAAGGTGGATTTGTTCAATTTTCTAGCAAACTTCTCATTGTTCCTTATTTACCACTTTACTGTGAATCTGTAATCCCAGGAGTGGAAACTCTGAAACACTTCTGCTACTATGTGCACCATTACCTTCACAAATGGCATGTTAAAGCAACTTCTGTGCAGTGGTAATTTATGGAACTTACATTCTAAATTGAAATTAGATGGCATATCCTAGGGGAAAACCCATAGGATAACAAATAAGTATGAAATGGAGTCTTAGATATAAATTATTCAGGGAGCTTTGTCACATTGTAATATACCAACTCCAGTCTTATACAGAGCGCTTAGCTATGATTGCAAAACGATGGTGGCAGAAAAATCACAGCTTAGAGAGAGGCAGATCTACATAGTCTGGGTGTCGGGGAAGCTGATAATTAGCAATTAATATTAAGCCATCCTGTGCTGGCTTAGTGGCAGGAGTAATTCCTGGGCAGCTGGCCCACGGTCAACATATCATGGTGGCTGGGCACAGCTTTCTCTCCATCTCACTACTCTCAGGGATGACGGTGCCTAAAGCAGTAGTTCTGTCACAGCCACAAAATTAAATTCTGCCTGCACTGCTGGGAAGCTTTGAGACACCAAGGTCTAAACAATTCTTTAGTTAGGCAGAAGTGAGCTAAGAACATGAGACATGCTCATGCACCCAGGCCAGCGTGCTGCTGTCGTCAGTGATAAGGGAAGCAACTGGTTAAGGACAATGTGTGAGTGTCACCATTTTCTGCGGTCCACTCCCCCCGTTCTCTGCCAGCATCCATAATCATTCTATTGGGAACATTGGACGGCATCTCTTGTTCTCTTTTGTATCTACTTAGTATTTAGATCTGTTGCCTATGAATGTCTCTAATATCTTTTTGAATCTGCTTATGCTGTCTGTCAACCCAGCCTCCTGTGGCAATGAATTCTGGAAGCTCCCTACCTGCTGTGCAAAAACATATTTACTTTTATCTGTCTTAACTGATCTCCTAGCAGTGGCAATGAATATTGCAGGATATGGTAAGTAATGCTTCTGCATATTATAACCCTGTTATAAGTTATGATAGCCTTGTACTTAGTAGGCCTCTCTCTCTCCCTCTTTCTCTGTTTGTTTGAATTCGATACCTTTGGGGATTATTGGCAGCGGGAAAAAAAAAATCATAAGAAAAAAGGGTAAAGGAACCGTAAATTTAGACCATATTGGCTTTTCCATGGTAATTGCTTTAGTATCTTCATTGTCCAAAGCACAAATTCCGCTGAAATACTGATGGGGAAGCTTTCCTTCTGTAACACAAGGCACAGAGAAGTGTGAATTCCACATAGTTTATCCTCTTGAAATATGTTCATGGGTGCAGATCCAGACAAAGGTTCTTTTTTCTCACCCAACATTTTGAAAGGGTTCTGGCTCAACTGAAGGATATTTAGGTTTGACATTCTAAAACACCTGGCAAATATGTACACTCCTAACATTGCACATTTTTCTCCATTGCATACATCTCCAGTATTGCAGAATTTCAGCTTTTCTTCGCATACTAAAGAGTTGCCATAATGCTATCTATTGCTGTGTGGCCCGGAACAAACAGAGTATCCCTGTGCCTTGCATTTGTGCTTACTTCAAGTTGAATCACGCTTACCAGTTTAATCCCCCTTTTTCTCAAACAATCGTGAAAACATCTTTCTTAGAGCAGTATAGCTATAAAGTCAGAATGAGCACTGTGGTCACATTACTACCTTCACATGTTTCGTGGTACAAAAAAGCTCACTGACCTGCTCTGTCCTAATAGGAGCATGCAGCCTGCTAGTACCAATGCAGTCACCCAAATAACAAGTCTGTCCTCCCTTTTTTCCCCCATCTTGGATGAGAAGTACTTTTCTGTATCCGTGGTTTAATTCCTCCTATGTGGATGCAGTTAGGGGGAAATGAGCTGTGCTACCACTGAGACCCTTCACTGGGTTGAGGGAGGTAGCAGAGCTGAGGCACCAAGATTTCTTCCCCAAAACACAGCTCTGCTTCTGGCTTACCTATTCTAATTTTCTCCCAGTGTGACACCTTTTAAAACAAAACCAAACAAATTAAGCATGCTGTACTGAAGAAATTCTTCCACAGACACAGCTCAACTGTGACAGCCCATGCTATTTCTTTGGCTAGCACGTATCGCTTTTACTGATTTGGCTTTGCACGCAGCTGCCCACAGTGGCACTATCAAGACTGTGTTAAACTGAAAGAAGCCAGAGATACTAATCACAAGCATACTAAAAATCCTTAATTATGATCAATGACTTCTCTGCCAGCGCCCCCAAAGAAATTTGAACTCTATACTCTGATGAACTGCTAAATGTGCTCAGACTTTGGCATAATTTATGTTTAATCCTGCTAGAAGGTCCAGAAGCTTTCAATAACTGACTTGCAAAAGAGAACTGGTTTTTGGTATAACTAACTGATTTTATTAACTGTCTTCATGTTAGCCTCAAAACTTGACACCAAAAGCAACAGAATTTGGTATCCTTTCCCAATCAAACTGAAATGGGACTGCAATGATGATATCAAAAAACTGGTATCATGTTCCAGGATCATTCACGTTTTATATTGTGGAACAGTTTTCTTGCAATTAACTTAACAAAGAATTTGTAAATAAAGGAAAATTATATTCTAATCCTGAGGCTAAGAAACCTTTTCTTCCAAAATAAGTCAGAGAGGGTGAACTGGAATTTGTTTGGGAAAAAAAAAAATAATTTAAAATCCACAGTCAGATTTGATTAGAAAAGAACACTTGGGCACAGACCTTACCTTTTCAACAAGTGTTTATGCAACATGAAAGTCAACAGTTAATATTTAAGTCTACGTTAACATTTTTGATAATCTAGGCCTTTAAAGTCACACAGTAGTATTTTAAATCAAGTTCATTTATTTTCCATCTCTTTCTCCATCCTTAACCAAAGCACTGTGATGTTTCAGTGCTTTCCT